AAGAGTTTTCCTTTCAGCTTCTCATGAGCTACCCAAGGCAACTTACGAAAACGAACAAATACTAGTTGAAAATAGTCTCTTGATCTTGAAAGCTGGACGAATCTTACGCAACGCTTGCGCTGCGAGGTCTGGTGTCGCTTGGCTGGCAGACACTGTGTGAGTAGAGGCAGAGAGCGGGGTTGTTCCTTGGTGAACAGTTCAGCCAAGTGCCTGCTGCGCCTGCCGTGCAGCCGATCGTAGGAGGCTCTTTTGACTCTTGGCAACATAACAAATCTTGTACTAGTAATTAGAAGATGAGCATGTGAAACTTAAACATGTCTTTACACTTCACTGTTCTTAACCTAAATTGACAGGTCTGCATGCAGTGGTAGCCTTTTCATCAAACAAGCTCTTTGTTACCAAATAATAGGATCACTGTGGAGCTATTAGGGTCTCATAGTTGCAGGATTTGTCCCCTTCTGAAAAGAAACAGTGGAATCAAGAGGAATTCTCTTGTGTTGCAGAAGTGCAAGCACTGCACATTAACGAAGACATTTGTGAAGACTTTCAGGCTTAGCTGCAAGAAAAAAAAAAAAAAAAAAATAAGGACCCCACAAGAATTCCTAATTTTAATGGAAAACAGACTGATTAGGCTTCTAACAGAGGGACAGTCTTGAAATTCGTGGTGGTGTGAAATGAGGCCATTAGTGCATGATTAAGACCTTTACAATTGATTGCCAAAGCAATCTTGTGAACTTGGACATCTCTTTAATTAAAGTTTAAATGCAAAACGCCTTAATCCCTTTGATCACTTGGAATGCGCTCAATATTAATTTTGCTGCTGTTCTGCATGGAGTTTACAACTGGAGTAAGAATAGTTATTAATTTCTAAACTTCTTCAACAGGTTGCTATAGGACTTTAGGCACCTCCAGCGTAGCAAGAAACTGCTACAGACAGCTTAGCCTCGTGTTTTGTATATCAAATATTTCTGACATTAATAATGCATATTGACAAACATCAGTTTCAGAAAATGTGAGTATTTTATAAGTGACCCTACCTACGTAAAGTAAGTGTGTTAAATTCTGGGTGGAATTTGTGGGTGAGGAATTGTCCATAAGGAAAGCAGCAAATAGGCCAACTGCACTCTGTGTGCTTACTGAACATTATTGGAATCACCGTTGGTCATCTAGTATGTTGCTACCTAAAAGCGAGGTTGGTACCAGCATCAGTAGCCTGGATGGACAGCACCATCAGGGATGGGTGCCTGAAGGTGCTGCATCTTTAGCCAAGCTGGCAGATGTAGAACTGTGCTGGCTGGAAGCTTCTTACTGCTGTTACAGCGCATCTTAAATTGAAGATTTTTAAATGGTCATTTCCTACTTTCATCCCAGCTTCCAAATATTGTAGTTTAAAAGTGTGAGTGATCTCTACAATTACAGCAATGCATTCAAATGGGCATTCAGATGTCTCTTAAGTTCCCTGACTTTTCCTTTGACAGTTACAGTATTGTATATTTATATAGTAATGGTGTTACACGTCAGCTGCACTTTTTGTCCTTTCTCAGTAGGTCTGGCAGTGCCCCTGCTGTGTACTCAGCCTAATGCATAACTTCACGTTCAGGTTCTAAGATTAGGGATTAAAAAAACCAATGTGGAACAGATAAACAGAAAAAGAAAAATTTAATAATGCTTTCCGTATGCTATATGGATACTTTACAAAATACTTCAAGCTTGGTGATTAAAACAGACACACTGAGAACTACTTCTGTGTTGTCAAAGCGTAATTCATTCAAAGATACACAAGACTGGTAATACATAATGTGGAGTGAATTAGAACAAGCTTACTTTGCCAGGCTGTGTGCTGTAGCTGGGATTATGGGTTTTTTTCAATTTCTGACCTTTTTTGACCTGTTCTGCTAGGTGCAGGAAGGAGCAACCAGCTGAATCTGGTACCTGAATTTATGAGTGGGTGAGAGGCCCTTTGTACTGCAAACGGCCAGCTGGGTCCAGAGATGGCTTTTTAAAGGTCTTGTGTACAGAGTGCTTGGAAAAAGCCTGTTTGGCGCCGACCGGCATCGTTACGCACTTGGTGAGAAATTCTCTGTTCTCCCCAATCTAAGCCGTAGTGCCTCTGCACCTGAGCACTGCAGCCCCTGCCAGAGGGGACGCTCTGTCAGCCCGCCCCGTAAAGGGGTCTGGCAGACAGGTGGGCTGAAGCGCGAGAGAGGCAGTAGCAGCATTTCAGTTTGAAAAGCCATGTGGCAATCTGCAGACACAGACTAGCCCGTGGTCTCTTACATTTTCAAGGTTTATTTCACACTGCAAAATTCTTCGCTTTACAAAAGCAAAACAGGGTAACTTGAAGCTCAGTCTGTTTAGTGCTTTCTCACTCACAAAAGCAAATGTTATTCCACCCGGCAGATCTGCAGGTGGGAAAGGTGAGTGCGTTCGCAGACTCAAGAAAACACTAGTGAGATCACCTCATGTTTTCTTACAACATAGGTGAGCAAAGGTGGCTTCTCAACAAGAACAATTTCAGAACTGTATTTGTAAATACTAAATTTCAGAGTAATGCTGCTTTAACTTTTCTTCCCAGATAGACTGTTCGTCAGTGGGCAAAGTTTGCAAAGGGCTCGACACCTTTCCCAGCAAAACTGTTTATAGTGTTTTGCCCCCCTACTGATGCCATGTGCCAGTATTTCATCTGACCCCTCTAATCGTTATAGACAGCGCCCTTTTCGGTGCCCATGCGTGCTTCCTTGTTTAACAACCTTCCCTAGTAATGTCATAAAACGTGTGTTAATATCCCGGGGCAGTGTCAACAACTGGAAAAGTAAGTGGGGGAACTGTGACCAGCTTGGCGTTGTTTCAAAGTCAGTTTTGTCTGATGAAGAAATACAGTTTGTCTTCAGATCTTCAGGAAATTCCTTAGGCCCAAAAGTAGAAGCATAGGCACAATAAAGAGGATTCAATCCTTGCAATTAATTTTTTAATGTAACACTGTAATTAGACATTAAATTTATTATGCTGAAGGATGCTAATGGCTGCTCTGCCTGTAATAGGAGACTTGCTGTAGCTGAAATACAGGTGTCCTTCAAGACCGTGATCATTTCCTTTATGGGCTGATCTTAGAGGCTTGGTTGGTTAGTTGGTTGGTTGTTGTTGGTTAAGAGTGGTAAAGGCTGTAGATTTTATTAGTTAGCCGCAAAAATGTGTTCGTGCTCAGCATGAAACCATACTCTTTTTCACTTTGACCTTGGCTAGCAGAGCCGAAATCTTACCAGGTCAAAACAGCTCCATCAGACACTGCTGATTTCACGTCTAATTAGTTTGCAGGTCAGGATGTTTCTACAGTAGTCACAAACACTTTACCTTTTAGGTTTCTTCTTGCTTTCCTTGCCAATATTTTCTCCTGAGGTAGAATTGTTATTTTTGTTATGAGGCAGTCCTTGGCTAACACTCAATGGTTTCCAGTTCAATCTCTTCAGTTGTACTTGCTGAAATAAAAGGATTTTATTATTGATTGGCAAATGGATCGGAAGGCCAGTGTTCCAAAATTAACAGCGCTGTGTTAATAGCCAAGACATTCTGAACTTTTTAATATTAGCTCAAGCTTACTCATGGACAATTAGGTTTTAAGTACGTCTTTTAAAAATTTTTAACTGCGTAGAGTCCCTCGCAATCTTTAAAGTGACACTGGTTTCTTCAAGTACCAGACTAAAGGCACTATGAAAACTAAAGTCCATAGGGCCCATCCTTACACCTTTCTTCATGACTTTTGAAAGGAGGGCTCTTGTAAGGTGGGATCGGGGCAGAAGTTAGGTCCCTGCTTTGGATCACTTTCTGGGAGGTGACAGAGCAACTGTGGTTTTCCTGAACTCTGCCAAATAAGCGTATTTGATTCAGACTTTGTAAAACTCTGGCTCCGTAGGAACATTAACTGGAGCCATGACGGGCTTCATCCAAATGGAAGCCTGTATGTTCTGGCATGACAGGAACATTTTCAGTAGCTACAGAAGCTTGTGAGCAGTGTGTGCAGCATGAAAACAGCAGCAGCCCTTAGAGCTGTAGGTGAGCAGCAGAAAGGAAGAGACGGCTCGAGCCAAATTCATCTCGTTTTGCAGAGTTGACACAAAGTCTGGACCATGAGGCTTAGGATTCTTGAGTGTCAGTGCTGGTCTAGTAAAATATTGATACTTCAGCTGCTTGTTGTAATATAACAGCTTAAGCAGCGCTTATTAGAGAAGAAATATAGGCCTTTTACCTACAGGGCAAGAAACCACTAGTGGATCTGCACTTACAAAGAAGGGAAGTAAACACTTAAAGTGTTTTTAGTGGTAAAATAAACCTCCCGTTCCAAGGATATGCCCAGAGCTTGAGCCCAGGCTGTAGTGTGGCACCTTGTCTTGCTCCCTAGGCTGTATGTCCCTGGCTGTGGCTTAGAAGTCTCTTCTCTAATATGTGAATGTTCCCTGCAGTGCAGCCCTTGTGCTCCCTTCATCTGCTTTTCATGGCTGGTGTCTTCGCACGTGTTAGGAGTCTGGTTTTGATGTTAGTCAGTGTTCATTGATGTCTGCAACTGGATCAAATGTGAGGACAGGTGAAAGGGGGGGTTTGAGAGGAGAAGAAGAGGTGCAGTCCTCCGTGAAGTGGGAACCACTCCCAAGGGCCATTTGAGTCCTTTCCCCTAGGAGATACCCTTCTGGCGCAGACCCTGAGAGCATTGCTGATGCTCTTGACTTTGACTCGTGCCTTCTGATGGGGGGGCTATTGCAGCTCTGGCCTTTACTCTATAAGTTTTGCAGTTATCAGTGTTGGGAAGTCTTTTGTGGTTTCCGATGTAAAATGTGTAAGGTAGATGTCCTGTGGATTGTTCTGCAACTAAATACCTATTATTCAGTTGCCTCTGCTAGCAAAGAGTCGAACAGGATAACTGAACCGAGCCCTTCAGTCTTGTTTCTCAGTGTCCCTGCTTAACACCCTTACGGCTCAAATCATAAGTGAATTTTAGGCTCAAAATTCAGACTTGAAAGCCTTATAGCTTAACTGCATTCTAAGAGAGATACCTGTTAGTTTGTGTGTCGTCGACTTCTGGAATAGATGCAGAGATTTATTACACAGCCACATGAAGCAGATCAAAATGGCAGATACTGCAGCGAGAAATGCAAAGAGAACTGCTACAAAATGTAAATCTTCATAGATAATCTCTGCAGGGAGGACAGAAAAAAAGTAATATTATGTAACTGATTACAAGCAAATTAATGTTTAAACACAGGGTAAAGCCAAGAGCTCCCATCTAGTTCATACCATAAACGTTGACTATGATGGTGCCGTAGGTGTTGGTTCCATACTCCTCTGTTACAGTGACAAAATAGTAGCCGGCATCTCTCATGCCCACGTTCCGAAGCTGTATAGAGCCATTTTCAAAAGTAGTCACTCTGTCCTTGTACACCGCGGATATATTGACATAATTCCCACTTTTCCACTCAACAATTTTGGTGGTGCCCCAGCTCGACACATGCTTCCACTCAACGGTGGCGGCGCCTCTGCAAGAGTATTCAACGGAGAGCAAGATGTTTTGTGCCACGGTTGCGTTGATGTTGGGTTGTGGGACAACTAACGATACTCCTCCAGGAGCTGAAAGACAAGGGAGGGCCGTGAGTGCGGAGGTGATGCTGTGCCAACTCTCCTGGGCCTGACCCCTGGGGCGTGACTCATCCTACCCACCTCAGCGGTCTGTTTTAGGAGCGGATGGATTATGCTCTGCAGGTTCTCTTTCTTTCTGCTGACTATAAAAGGAACATACATACTTAAATACTAAATACACATTTTTAATCGGTGATGGTCAGGAGAAACACTTCCACCATACAGTACAAGTAATTGCATGTGTTTCAGTGTTTTGATACCCATGAGGCAAGAGTTTGGACGAGTGTTTTTGGGGAAGGGAGTGTAACATTTTCTGAAAACTCTGTGAAATGCTTATCCTGCATTTAAATGGAAAGTTTAATCGCCATGGCCAAGGTAACCTATTATATTAATTAACTACCGTTCCCCAAAAGCCAGAACTATAGCAGGCTCAAGTATATGAAGACTTGGCAAGGACTTCGTCGTGTTTTCAGGATGTGTGATCAGCGTTTGAGACAACGGCTTCCTAAAGGCAGCGACTCATGTGCCAGTGCAGATAAACTGCATGTAATCACAGGTACACAGTTTCACGGGAAGTCAGAGGCTTCCTGATGATCTCCAGACAAAAAATGCACAC